GGCTTTGCTTTGTGGAGTTAATTCAATGCTTTCTTTCCCCTTTCGAGCCCTGGCACGAATACAGCTCAATAATTCAAATGTTTCCTTTAGTTATTTGAATCCTTTCAGCAAAGTGAGGACCACTGACTGATGAGGGAATTGCTCTACTGAGATGAGGATGAGCCTGCCTCAAGACATCCTCAGGGCTCTGACAGCCTCATCAAACAGAAACCCGAGGAACCGGAAGCAGGGAGGAGGACCGACAGATGAACGGATGACCTGCTTGCTGGGCTACCCATTACTGATTCTTGAGGTTAGTTTTTAGCTACATGTACCTAAAGAATAAGCAGAAACAAGTAATCAAAATGGGTGATCTGGCGCTCTTCTATGTTCTCCCACAAATAAAGAGTGCTGGTAGTGGGACACTGCTTTGTGGGGTTAATTCGAACATTTCTTTCCCCCCCCCCCCCCCCCCACCTCTTGCTCTACCTTTCAGATATTTCTTAATAATGATAACCCAGTTAAAACCTAGAAAACTCAGAGTCATTGTGAAGATGTACCCTGGAGGAATGCTATCAGTCAAAACCTAGAAAACTCAGAGTCATTGTGAAGAATTATTTGATATTTTATAATGAGGATTTAAACGTACATACAGACTGGACATTTGTCACAAAATGTCTCTCCCTGTTTATACATTACCCTAATCACATCATAAATTTGAAGCCATTTTGAAAACTGATATTCTCGTTTGACAACAATGTAAAATGCCTTAATAATGTAACTGGAAGAGCCTATTAGAAACTGAATTTGTCCTAAGCACCCTTTTTCTAGCAGTGAAAAAAAGAGAAAAAATACTAGCTCATCTTTTACCTTTATATGCAACATCCATAAACTTATGTAATTGGCCCATTAGAACCCTCCGATGCAAACATGCATTCTCAGCCATGCTGTTACTCAGGTCAAAATCAGTCAAGTGACTGTTTTTGACCCGATGGCATTCTATGCATTGAACTACATTATTGACCCGTTTTGACTGCTTAAGTAACTGGCCATGAGAATGACTTGACCAACTGTGACCCATAGAACAGTTGTTGATAATGAATATTTGCTGACTGTTATTGACTCGTTAAAGTACTGTCATAGTCAGTAAGTTGCTGGTATTGACTGTTTAAAACATGATCCCTGTCTAAATAGCTGTGGGTGCTGAATTGCTGTTGACTGTTTTTGACTTGACAAGGATCCCTGTCAAAATACCCCCCCCCCAAAAAAAATCCCTGCCCACCCTATTTTCAAATGCTGTGTAATATCACCATGATAAAATATCATGTTTTATATTTACTGTTTAAGTTGTATACGTTGACCTTCAAGGAACAGGACCACTTTCCTGGTAATGATACACATCTAAGGAATGGCCAGTTTAGCCACAAGGTCCGCGTGGGTGGGTGCTGGGCTGCATCGGAAGGCCACAGTGATTCAGCCCACAGACTTATAAGGAAATCCGATTGTTCTATTAATTTGCCTAGCCCTGCCCCCAGATACAAGTTGACCAAACACCTTCAATTCTGTATTATTAATATTCATTAGTTAGTGGACGATTCCTAATAAGGCAAGAAACCTGTAAGATAGCTGTAAGATTGGAATGTTCATTTACTGTATAAAAACCCAGTAGAATCTAGGAATCAGACAGAGAGAGCGTCACAGCCAACCGAATAAACCACATCATCCCAAGTACCACTTCGTCTCTTACTGTCTTACTTTGTCTATATAACCTCACGGGTTATATTTGGTGGAGAATCCGGGTATCTCTCTCAACATCGAGTTTTTCATGCTCACGCGATCAAAGTCAAAACAACAATCTGCATCAGCCATGGCCTGTACAGCGCACATCGAGTCTATCCTTCCCAAGTTCACCGGGTACGACTCCGAGGACCCCGAGCTATGGATCGACCGGTACGAGAGGTATGCTCTCCAAAAAGCATGGACGGCTGTGCAACAAGCCAACAATTTCCCCCTCTACCTTGCCAGTTCTGCCAGTTACTGGTACAGAGACTTGCCGAATGCAACAACGGGCACCTTTGCGGCACTAAAACAGGCTTTCCTCAAGAAATACGAGCCTCACGAAGGCATGCGATGGGTTCGTTTGTCGGAGCTCGCCGACAGGAAGCAACAGCCCAACGAAGCGGTCGAAAAATACCTGAGCGACATTGAGAAACTATGCTGTCAGCTGAAGCGCTCCCAAGAAGAGAGAATGGAGGCATTCATAAGAGGACTGCTGCCCAACCTCAGAGCCCATGTCATCAAATCTCACCCAAAAACCATGGATGAGGCGGTAACGCAAGCAAGAATCGCTCAGTCCACAGCTGCAACGCAAGAACCAACCTCATCCACTGACGTGAACGTGAACTCAGCAATCAAGCAGCTGTCTGAACAGATCGCTTCCCTCAAAGACCAGATGACGACAGTTTCGGCGGCCACACAGCCATCTCCTCGACAGCCACCAAGCAGAGGATACGAGTTAGGACAGCGTCGCTTCCGCCCCCAGCAAACCCAAGTTTTCCGACAGCAGCAAGGCCCAGGACAGCAGCGAGCCCAAGCAGCGGTGCCGCCCATGATGTACCCATGCCGTGGATGTGGAGGTGAGTGTGCAAGTAGGCAATCATGTCCGGCCTGGGGTATTGAATGTAACTTTTGTCATAAGATAGGTCATTTTGCTAGGGTGTGCTTCCAACGTAACCGACCAAACAATATCAATGATATTCATCCTTCTAATCAATGACTAGAGACGAGACCCAAAGTTCCACACCTGAGTAATGTTTCTGCCATGTCAGGCGGGAGCAATCTAGTTCAAGTCAGAATTGGCTCAGACTCCCGATTTGCGTTAATTGACACTGGGGCATTGATATCGTGCATGACAAGAAAAACATACATGCAGTGTTTTCCCCAAGATCAGTTCCCATTGGGTCAGTCAGATGTTCCCCTAATTTCCGGTGTCGCTGGCCACATAACAAAAGTTGTGGGCAAAGTTGCCCTGCCGATTTTTATCGGGGAGCAAAGTTTTGAACACCCTTTCTACATCCTCGAAACCATGAACCATGAAATTATTCTTGGAGTAGACTTCTTGAAAGAGCAAAAGGCCAAGATATCTTTTGAGGAAAATCACGTAGTGTTCCCCGATGCACCTTCGATTCCTTTAGTAGGTAAAGAGGCAAAGAAAGTGACTGTCAGAGCAGTGTGTAATGTATCGTTGCCAGCTAGAACGCAGACCGTTCTTCCTGTTCAGTGTAGTAACATTAACGCCCAGTACGGTATCATTGAGCCAGTTCCATCTCTGTATGATGATGAGCAATTAGTAGGAGCAAAGTGTGTTGTTAAATCTGTTCAGGGTAAATCAGTATACCAGCTTATGAATCCCACTGACAGTGATGTAGAGATTAAGCGTAACCAAGTAGTTGGCTTTTGGGAACCGTTGTCCAAAGACATGTGTATTGAAAGTTTTGAGGTAGACGGAAATGAGACATCTAGGCCTACACAGACAGGCAATGTGTTGCACAAAAATACGGTACCTGTAACTGAAGGTGTTGACCCCCCTGATATCCTTAGTGAGCTTGGTATCACTATGACAGATTCAGATATAACAGCAGATCAAAAGCAAAAACTTGTCACATTTTTGGCTCAGCACAAAGAAGTATTCGCAAAAGACTCAACTGATTTGGGTACAACTGATGCACACTATCACAGAATAGACACTGGTGATGCAAAACCTGTCCACCAGCGTTTCTATCGCACTTCACCTGTTCATAAGGCAGAAATCGACAAACAAATCCAAGACATGCTAAAAGCTGACATAATCGAACCATCTACGTCGCCCTGGGCTAGCCCAGTAGTGCTTGTGAAAAAGAAGAATGGTGATTTTCGCTTTGCAGTAGATTATCGTCGTCTTAACCAAGTCACAAAACCCATGTCCTTCCCTCTACCTCGACCTGATGATGTATATGATACCATAGGTGAATCCCATGCTACGATATTCACAGTACTTGATCTTGCGTCAGGATTTTGGCAAATACCTCTAGATCAGGGGAGCCGCGCGAAAACTGCGTTCGCATCACATAGTGGCAATTACCAGTTCAAGAAACTTCCGTTTGGTCTCATGAATGCGCCAGTTTCATTTCAAATGGTCATGACTCAGGTGCTGCGGGGTCTAACTTGGAAATTTGCACTTGTATATGTGGATGACATCATCATTTTCTCTCCTGATTTTGACACGCATTTGAAGCACCTGCATGCAGTCTTTGACCGCCTTCGTCGCGCAAATCTCAAGTTGAAACCACAGAAGTGTCACTTTGCTGCGAAAGAAGTAACCTATCTGGGGCATGTCATATCGAAGCAAGGGATCAAGGCTGATCCAGCCAAAACGTCAGTAATGACCTCCTTCCCCGTTCCTAAGGACCCGTCTGAAGTTCGAGCATTTCTAGGGATATGTAACTATTACCGTAGATTTGTGAAAGGTTATGCCAACATAGCAGCCCCCCTAAACAAACTCCTGCAGAAAGACGTGCCATTTGTGTGGACAGAAGATTGCAACAATGCTTTCCTCCAGTTAAAGCAAGCGCTCGTCTCTCCACCGATCTTAGGCTATCCTAATTTTGATCGCGAGTTTATTCTGGCTACAGATGCTAGTGGGTTTGCCATCAGTTACATCCTCTCACAAGCCGACGAAAACGGTAAAGAGGTTGTCATTCAATACGGTGGGAGAGCGCTCACAAAGGCCGAGCAATAATGGTCCATAACCGAAAGAGAAGGTCTAGCTGTTGTACAAGGCATTCAGTTTTACCGGGTGTATCTTGCTAACAGAAAGTTTCGCGTCCACACAGATCACGTTTCTTTGCAATGGCTCAGATCTATACGCAATGCCGTAGGTCGATTGGGACGATGGTCTATCTTACTTCAGGGGTATGATTTTGATATTGTTCATAAGTCTGGCACGTCCCATGGTAATGCTGATGCCCTTTCACGTCGACAATATGACGACAATGCCTCTCAAGTTCAAGCCGCGAATAAGGACCCAATTCCAGTTGAGACTGTGCATCAGCCTCAGGTAAACAGTCACTCCGTAACGCTAGGTGAAACGTACGAGTACAAATTGACTTATGCCACGGATAAAGAAACGGTCTGTTCTATCGATAACCCTGACAGTTTGACAGATCAATCCGTTGATATCCAAGCTCGCCAGCGACGCGATAGTTCCCTGAATCAGTACATTGAATACTTAGAAAATGGTAGTTTGCCATCCGATGGAAACGCTGCTAGACGCATAGTCGCCGAAGTTCAAGATTATGTCATACAGGACGGTATATTGTACCATTACTATTATCCACGCGGCAAAGGCCACCAAGTTGATCGGCAAATCAAACAGTTGGTTGTTCCTACTTGCTTACACAATGACATTCTCCTTGCATATCATGACTCTGTCCTGGGTGGACACCAGGGTATTGATCGTACATACAACAGTATTCGCCAGAAGTATTTTTGGCCCCGAATGTTTTCACGCATTGAAGCCTATGTTAAGTCATGTACAACCTGTCAACGCGTTAAGGTTAACCGCCATGCTCAGCGCGCACCCCTCCAACCACTGCCGGTCGGTGAAGTATTCTCCAGGTTACATATCGACATACTTGGCCCACTGAAAACATCACCTGAAGGGTACAAATATGTACTTTTGATCGTCGACTCATTTTCAAAATGGTGCGAAGCTTTCCCACTCAAGACACAAGAGGCAGATGAAGTAGTTAAAATACTGTACAATGAAATCATCTGCCGATATGGGGCCCCCTCCTCCCTACTTTCTGACAGGGGAACTCAGTTCATGTCTAAACTTATCAAGCAGCTGTGCAACATCTTTCAGATCACCAAAGTTCAGACCAGTAGCTATCACCCACAAACGAATGCAACGTGTGAGCGCATGAACAGTTTCATTTGGCAAACCCTCCGTGCTTACTGCAAACCAGATCAATCTAACTGGGTAGAGTTACTTCCCAGTGTCATGTTCGCTTATCGAAGCACCCCAGCCACTGAGTCTACTCAACTTAGCCCATTCATGATTTTATTTGGTCGTGAATGTCACCTACCCATCGATACCGCATTGTTACCCCAAACGCAGCCCAGTGCAACGACTAATCGAACGCTTGAGCGTATCATGCAGAACTTTGACACCACGCGCAAAATTGCAGCAGACAACATCAAGGCGGCCCAAGTCAAATACAAAGAACAGTTTGATAAGAAATCCAAAACCCCAAGTTATCAAGAAGGACAGAAAGTATGGCTTTACTGTGCCAAACGTCAAGTTGGCTTGTCACCCAAAATGTGCCACAAATGGCTAGGTCCGTACTATATCTGTGAGGCTCGCGATAACTTCACCTACAAACTTCGGCGGTGTAGTGATAACAAACTTATGTTGTCCCCAGTCCACACGAATCGGCTGAAGCAATACCATGACCCTCAAGACAGACCTGTGCACATTCCTGATAGCTTAGACATCCATACTGAGGTCGGTACAGACCAAATTGAGGACAGTGACACTATCAGTGACACTGTCGGGGATACACCCCACTCTAAAGCTAATCAATCTGCCAACGAACACGTGCCACAACCCCCACCTGTTGTCTTGGGCAGTCCCAAACGTCCCTCTGATACTAAATCACCAGACACTGATGACCAAGGTCGTGGCGATTGGTTTATCGTACACAGTCTCAGACGCTCTGCCATAATAGATGGTAAGCGGCATTATCAAGTCAAGTGGAAAGGATATACCAAAACAACCTGGGAGCCCGAAGACAATATTCCTGATGAGTTAATCCAAGACTTTCACATCCGTAAGACCAAACGATCCAAAGCATATAAGAATAAGCGCAGACGATAGGCATCTATGTCCTAATTATTTATCTCCCTTTCACTGCAAATTGCTATTATCCACTTTCTGTAGTGAAGTGTTTTAACTTGTAGTATGTATCATTTAGTGTAGAGTTTTCCTGTACTTACAATTATTCCATTTGTACTCTGTAGTTCGTATTATTTTTATTGTATGCCTCAATTCCCTTTCTTTGCCTCATGCTTTTAATGCCGGCCATGGACATGATTGCATTACCTGTACACTCATTCTCATTTATTTGATATGCAATTTTGTTTTCTTGTATTTATTTCGATACATTTCCATTTAATACTTGTCTTTTTCTTTTTCTCATCTTCAGGTCATGTATAAGTGTTATCGTTGATTTCTAATATGCCTTATTTTTAAAGTTCCGAACGTTCCATTTTAAGTCCGGAGACTTAAGCTTCGAGGGGAGGGCACATATCACCATGATAAAATATCATGTTTTATATTTACTGTTTAAGTTGTATACGTTGACCTTCAAGGAACAGGACCACTTTCCTGGTAATGAGACACATCTAAGGAATGGCCAGTTTAGCCACAAGGTCCGCGTGGGTGGGTGCTGGGCTGCATCGGAAGGCCACAGTGATTCAGCCCACAGACTTATAAGGAAATCCGATTGTTCTATTAATTTGCCTAGCCCTGCCCCCAGATACAAGTTGACCAAACACCTTCAATTCTGTATTATTAATATTCATTAGTTAGTGGACGATTCCTAATAAGGCAAGAAACCTGTAAGATAGCTGTAAGATTGGAATGTTCATTTACTGTATAAAAACCCAGTAGAATCTAGGAATCAGACAGAGAGAGCGTCACAGCCAACCGAATAAACCACATCATCCCAAGTACCACTTCGTCTCTTACTGTCTTACTTTGTCTATATAACCTCACGGGTTATAGTAATAAGCCTTTTTGGAGTTCCAACTGCGCATTCGTAACCTGTGACAACGCGGATTGTTTGTCTCAAATGGCCTTTGACATCGCGCCACTGACTTTACAAAAAGGCTGTTTGTGCATTGTGGGTACTGTCAAAGTGCATTTGAGACAAACAATGTGCGTTGTAACAGGTTACGAATGCGCAGTTGGAACTCCGAAAAGGCTTATTGGAAGCAGAAATTTTTTTGGGGGGGGGGGGGGGCCAAAAGTATTGTCAGCAGTTGGTGAGTGGCTGGTATTGTCAAACAGCTGTGGCTACTGTGTGGCTGTTGATTGTTGTATTGACCTGATAAAGTATTGTCTGCAAGTGGCTGGTATTGTCAAACGGCTGTACTACTGTGTGGCTGTTGATTGTTGTATTAACCTCATAAAGTATTGTATGCAAGTGGCAGGCATTGTCAAACAGCTGTGGCTACTGAATGGCTGTTGATTATTGTATTGACCTGATAAAGTATCGTCTACAAGTGGCTGGTATTGTCAAACAGCTATGGCTACTGTGTGGCTGTTGATTGTTGTATTGACTTGATAAAGTATTGTCTGCAAGTGGTAGACATTGTCAAACAGCTGTGGCTACTGTGTGGCTGTTGATTGTTGTATTGATCTGATAAAGTATTGTCTGCAAGTGGCTGGTATTGTCAAACAGCTGTGGCTACTGTGTGGCTGTTGATTGTTGTATTGACCTGATAAAGTATTGTCTGCAAGTGGCTGGTATTATCAAACAGCTGTGGCTACTGTGTTGCTGTTGATTGTTGTATTGACCTGATAAAGTATTGTCTGCAAGTGGCAGGCATTGTCAAACAGCTGTGGCTACTGTGTGGCTGTTGATTGTTAATAAGTATTGTCTGCAAGTGGCTGGTTTTGTCAAACAGCTGTGGCTACTGTGTGGCTGTTGATTGTTGTATTGACCTTATAAAGTATTGACTGGAAGTGGCTGGTGTTGTCAACAGCTGTGGCTGTTCAATGGCTGTCTGGTGGCTGTTGACCAGTTAAAGTATTGTCTGCAGTTGGTAACAATATGTTCAGACACCGTGTTATCTAAAATGGTAAAAGTTGTAACGGTCGCTCACCACTACTGAGCGTCCAGACATTTTTTTACGTATAGCAAGTTCAACTCGAAGTACACATATGAATTTGTCATGTTCACTTAAGCTCGTTCAGCTGTGCAGTCCCGTTTCCCGACAACATCTCGTTGAAAAACGGCGCTTTTTTGTACGTTTTAATTCGTATTTTCATAACCATGAAGCCAATTTCACGGGGGAAAACAGTTTTATAAAGTTTGTTTTAGTTTTAAATTTATAAGAGTGTTCATTTGCTTTAATTTAGAAAAAATCCACCGTAAAATTGGCTTTGAAATTGTTCGGTTTTCGTGGATTTACTGTGGATGCGCACATTTTTGGCAGTGCCAGCTATCGTTCTTTGAACGTATTTCCTTACTGGAGAATCGAATTCCACCGGGGCAAAAACAATCGAATAGCTTAGATAATTCTTTTTCCAGTGATGTAACATACATCCTGATTGGTCAAGAAAAACTACCGTATATTCTTAGATGAAAAAAGGAACCAATGACAGCTATCGATCAATATTCCATTCATCGCGTCATTCCGCTTCTCAACACACATTTTGTGATCACCAACGTCTTCCGTCGCTCGTTTTGTAAGACCAGTTTTCTACATCTATGCAGACGGTAAGCTTTTAAAAAACTACAGATATGCCATTTGATAATCAGAGAACTAAATGTGTGTTTTTTTTGCCCTCAAATTAACTTCAAAATAATGTAAAATTTGACTGAAACATTGTTCATCTGTTTGAAGAAAATTTGCCACATTGTGAGCTGTGCGCTCTTTCTCCATTTGGGTCATACCATTTTACAAAGAGGAGACGCTTGGATATATGCACACGTGTACGGCATGACCGGATATGATATAGAAAATCTAGAGATGCTTGATGAGAAAGTAACAAATAATTGTTCACACTTAGATAAGTATTTATGATTTTATTGACAGTTTGATACTAGTTATTGAAGTTAAGATTGAATTTGTATGAGTTACAACTAAGTAAAGACATGAAAGATAGACCGACTTTTTTTCCCAGTTTCCAAATGCCCAAAGTACATTGAAAGTATGTCATTATCAATCATTCATTTTACCTTTAACATGTAATATGCTACAGCAATAACAAAACTATATTGCAAAGTACACATGTAGACCTACAACTTGTTGAAACTTTTCTAACTTTTAACTTTATATAACAAGTTTAGGCCTTATGTTAATTATTCTTGCTTGTTTTTAATAACAGGTTACGAATCTGAAGGAAAAGAAGACACTGGACTATCGTGCCATACACAACGGACCACGTCTTGACACTCCTCCTGCACCAAAGTCAACGAAAACAACATGGTCAACATCTGAACTGTTCCGATTGGAAGTTGTTCAGACGAGAACTACATCATCAGGATCCGAGGAGGTCAAGGTACACTACACTGGATGGGACGATTGCTTTGATGAGTGGCGCCCCACATTAGACATTGTTGATATTCCAGTAGAATGTGAGGAGACGAACGCTCTTCACTTATTGAAGATTGATTTAAGGGTGAAAACCAAAGAAAATCTCCACCTTTCTCGAGTACGCGACTCAGAAATCACCCTACACTTTGAAATCCAGAGGGAGACCTTTCAGACATTCATAAGTGCTGTTGGAGCAAAAGAAGAAATCTCACAGTCAAGGCGAAGCGTCTTCAGAGCATCTCGGGCATCAGTTGCAGGATTTTTGGGCCAGAACTGGTGGTATCACATTGTCAATGCTGCTGGAGACTTTTCGTATGTAGAGAAGGACACCATCCAAGTTTGGCTGCACGAGCATAGATGCTTGGAGGAGTACATCCTAAACCAAGACAAGACACTTGAAAAGCGACTTCTTCACAGGGGATTTCTTCTAGCGTTTCGATTCGTCAAGCTGACAGGAAATCGTCATGAGCTCCATAAACTTGATATCTTGTTTAGGTTTTGATTTACACTGAGAAATCAACCAATAGTTTTGGAATCCATTGTTCAATTTTAATTCAATCTAAAGACCTTCAACCATTGTATTTCATGTGCTGTTTTATTGTGAAACCCTAATGTACATGTACAGTTTTTTCATTCTGGTTCACTTTCAACATGGCTTCACTTTTGAACTTGTTTCTTTGCATTGTACTTGTTGGTTTTGGAGCAAAGTACCTTGGCAACTGCCATCCAGGTGTTGATTCAGACTGGATACTTGAAAGTAATAACTATGCCATTTATTTAATGGCGAGGGAGAGCAAACTTCCACAAGGCGTAGGTCAGGCAGAATCAGTCCTGAAAAAAATATGTGAGGACAATGCTATCAATTTTGAATTTCTTGATGCAGAAGTAACAGATCGTTTAAGATGGAAAGTTAAAAATATCATGAAGCCAGCACTGAAAGCAATCAGAAGTGGGGGTGTACAAGGTCGTCAATATCTAGAAAAAGTACAAAACTCAGTTTATAAACTGAAATTAGGAGGGCTGATTAGCGTAAAATGGAGCATGAACTGGAAAGTGAGAAGAAGCGAAGAAAGACAGCAGAACATGAGGCAAAAGAAGCCAAACAAAGGGCAAAAGAACACAAAAAATCAGTGAAAAAAGCCCAAACCACACTACGCAGATTAATTGGGAGACGCACTAATCACAGACAAGTAAAGATGAAGGAAAAATACGGAAGAACTTGGGTGAATCAAAAAAAGAAAGATCTAAATGACACGGTACACTTTGCGAAAGACTTGCTCTCAAACGAAGGAGTTGAAGTAAAAACAATGATTGTTCAAGACATGTATGGCAACACTATTCAATTTCCAGAGTACCCAGTTGGAGACAAGTGTAAATCATCCATTGATCGAATGTTGTACATTAAGGACAGCTCTATGATTGCAGATAGGACCTACCAGGAAATGTCCCTTGAGGAGGGATCATTTCCATCACTTTATGCTCTGCATACACGTATGAGGGAACTCAATAGTCTTTTTACTGTTCAGGCATTGGCAAATGGCAAGGGAGTGC